AATGATGACTTTTAATATACTTTATATTTAGTTTTCTAATATGTTTTTAATCAATAATTTTTTTTCAAAAGAAGCCATTTGATTTTTACATTTTATCAGTGTTTTAGTGTTTTTAGTAGTTTCCATAGCCTTTACATGAAAGTAGAGAAATTTTAGCCAAAATGATGCAAAATAATCATTTTGAAGATTGTATTGAACAAATTCAACGGATAGATCTCAAATATGTTCATGTTACTGAAGATTGGTTGTTATACGTTAAAAAAAAACTAGCAATCAGAGGAATATAGCAGTGGTGCAATTGATCACCCATCTCCAGAAAGCCACTGCCCCCAAAAACCTGAGGTAATCGATCCATCACATCACCCATATAAATATTGATCGATCGCTAGTCCAAAAATATGGAAATTTTAAGTTTATTGAAATCTTTCGAAATCTTTTGGAAATATTCCCTTATGTCGATTCTCTATAACATTCTTTGAACCCATATACACTACCCGCAATCAATGTAAACATGTTAGTAGCCGAACCTAAAGAACTAAAACAACCACAAAATATTTAAGCTTTCTTCTATTTATTTAATTTTTGTTCGATAGATCTCGCATTTTATACCTAGATAGATATTTTTTATAAACCTTATTGCTTTTTAATGAATATATTTTCTAATTTCTTTGTTTTTGGTTGCTTGATGATGATTGAGTAGCTCCCTTGTTGGGACTAGGCGAAAAATCAAAGAGATTTCACAGTTTGATATATTGGATTTAGTGATAGAGTGGTGCTCTTTATAAGTTAGACAGGTTCACCATCTAGATTTGTTTGTTTATTACTAACCATCTAGAAAATAAACTTAGAATGATTTTGGTTTGCATACTAGTTGAGTTATTTTTCATATTTGATGTTAGATGAGTTTAACGCTTTAATCTGCGAAAGTTGAGTCACTATGGTAGGTAAATAATTGAACCTGAACATGAATACTTATTTTATCTATGTTATTGAATACAAGAGTAGATTGATATAATAATTTATTCATAGTTGATGATTTATCGCCATAAGAATGTGTTAATCATACAATAGTGCTTTGAATTCTAGAAAAAAAAATGTGATTGCCTCAAGGAATAGATCATGAATATTTTGGTTCGTAATACCTTGAGAATGCCATGATTGTCCAATGTTTTTAATATATTGATTTGAGTCATTTTAATTTACTTCATTTTCGTTTTTTGTTACAACTCTTAGTTTAGAGTTTCACTACAAGAAAACATGTCAATTTTGAATGGATTATTATCCATCGGAAATTTGAGACCGTATTCAGACCGAATTGCAATGGAAAGAATTTCGTCCAAAATCAGTGGGTATTTTCTGACAGAGACAAGATCAGTTGGTATTCGGTTGAAAAAACGATCGGATATCCGTGGGAATCTAATTTCGTCATAAACCAGAAGGAAATAAATAGTCGTTGTTGTAGCCGTTATGTAGCCGTTTGAACATCTGAATTTTCATCAAAAATATATGGAGAATATCGATGGATTCTTCGATAAATACTATCACACCTTCATTAACAAAACGAATACAACAAAAAAACATAATTAAAATGGCACCTTCAAATAAAGATCAATATTTTCGAACGTGAATGGAAGACCTCCGCATGATCTAGAGACACGTCTACTTACATATGAGTTCTACGATGGAGTTCAACAATATATGGATCTTGCATTAAACCAACCGAAAACCATGGACATATTGGTGTTACGATGGGGTTTCAGATACCAAACATTTTGAACAGAACACCATTAGACATATTGGTTCGACTGATCATTCAGTTGAGGTAAAACTTGTCGTTAATTTCACCATAAACGCAAATGATGTTGTATTTGAGGATTTGGAGGAAGAAGTTGTGGAGTTTAAGGAAGATTAAGAGTCAACATCTTCATATGATTCATCGGATTCAGTGGTTAATTATATATGTGTTTACGGAATGGTTTTGTAATATATGTTTATGAAATGATTTGGTAACTTTCCACGTACGTTTACGACATTCTGTATTTTTTGATTGAATTTAGTAACAAAAAATGAATTATCCTAAGAAATCCGTTGGAATTTTTGTGGTCTGTGGAAATTCCGATGAAAATTTCAACGAGTTTTAGACCAATTATGCAATCCGTGGGATTTCGTTGGAATTTGTAAATTGTGGAAATTTCGTTGGAAATTATCTTGTGAATCTAGAAACACTTATTTCCAACGGATTTCCGATCATATTGTCCATCTGAAACTGGGTTTTCCTTGTAGTGTTTACATAGTTTGATTCTTATTTTGGTGTTAATTATTATGATCTCAAGCCTCTTTGAGATTGATTTCTAAAGTACTA